TTGTAGTTAATATTTTTAGTTATCCATATATTAGCAAATCTTTTTCTCCGTATATTCATATCTAATTCATTACTATGTTATTTAAGGTTTTTGCAGTGTCCATGAATATTAGATTTGGTTTCTGCTTTTAAGCTGCGTAATTTCTCCTTTGATTCCGATGTTTCGCGAACATTTCAGTTTACTTCATTAGGAGGAGTCGTTCCTTCCTAATGAAACAAATCCCCCTCCCCCCCTCTCTCTCCCTCCCTCCCTCTCTTTCTGTCCCCCCTCTCTTTCTTCTCTCATTTTTGTAATTATTTTTCACACAGAATGATATAAAAATAGATAGTTTTAAGAACATATTATAGTCCAAGAAGTTCCAAAAAGTTCCAGAAAAGATATAAATATAAGCTCATTTTTTCTGAACTAATATTTCATTAAAGTAATTGTGCTAAAAATTATTCCCACTCGCAATAATGCATGATTTGTATTGACGTCTTATGAATTATTGAAAACATTTGAAAAATTCCCGATGTATTTCAGGTTTTTTTTAGATTATTTTGACCACAAAACTGCTTTTTAAAAAGCCAATTTTAAATAAAATTGTTTAAAATGCTTTTTCCTATTGAAATGTTTTAAATTTTTCCTATAATTTTAATTTATATAATTTTAGATATCATATTTATTAATATTTAAAATTTTATTATTTATAGTATATCAAAGCAAGAATTAAAATAACTACGTGTAAAAGTAGAGGCTTGTAGAGTTACTTGTTGCATGGGTAGTTGAAAGTAGCTCTGTCGGCTATGTTTCAAATGTCCTATTTATTACATGCATTGGCCAAATTGATCAAATTTCAAGTCGCAATATCTCGATTGTTCATTAGATTCAAAAACTGTAAATAAAACTGTAAAACTGTAAATGATTTTTTGATTCCATTTTTTTCATAGAATACATAATTTTATTTATGACAATCAGTTTGAAGACATATATGAGTTAAAATTAGATATTATAAAGATTACAGGTTAAAACTAAGTAAAATATGCAATTTTGGTTTTTTAATATTTGTTGTAAAAGATAGTATCATATAATGAAATTTATTTTTTTTCGATGTAAAAATTTTAAGGTTACATGGAAATCAACTTTGTTTTTTAATAGAATTATAGTTTTTCTTTAATATCGATCAATCCTGCATTTCATTTTACATATAAAAATATTGAAATAATATCATCGGAAAATCTGTTTTTACATACCACTCGAAATATTTCACATATTATTTTGATAATATTCAATATAAAATATAAAATCTCTTGTAAAGTATCTATCTTCCAGTAACCTTACCTAAGTATTTTTTTAAATATTAAGAAGATTAGAATAATATTTCAGCATGTAGATACATACATTATAATATATATTAATTAGTATCTGTTATAATGTATACTAATTAATGTCTGCAAAATGCAATGGAATTTAATTTATGTTTCTCTTTGTTTTCCTTGCATTAATCTATTCTTCATATCATTCTAGGTATAAAAATATTTCTATTGAGAAAATATTAACAGCATGTATTTATTTGATATGCAGAACATGCAAGCCAGTAGACAACAAGCGCACGTGTACGTACGCATACGTATGTGTAATGCTTGTCAGACTTAACTTCTATGCAGTGCATCTTAGGTAACGCTAAAAGAATCTGACATTTTGTGATATAAAAAATAAAATTCTAAAATTCATTTCAATGTCATAATGTATGCTATGGTTAAGCACGCTTTAGAGCGGAGTATCATCATATGCATTTCAAAATATATTATTTAAAAAAATTATGTCTGATAAACGTGCGCTAAAATATAAAATGGTGGAAAAAAGAGATTAACTTCATAGTCAGCTTGCTTCCTATCCTAAACTTTCAACTGAACAGGTTTGTGTTCATACTTATTATTTACGATTTATTCAAATGTATTATTTTATTTGAAAATTATATACAGGATGTAACTAAATATGTAGCAAACCATTCAGGAATGGATTTAATATTTAAAGACAATAAAATACATTTTTATAAACATATGTCCAATTTAATTTTGTTTTTTTATTAAATTATAGTGTTTTGTTCTTAGCATTCTGTTTAAAAAGAAATGTTACTTTAAAAAGAAATGTTACTTTAAAAAGAAATGTTCAAAATGACAAATTAGATATTTTGCTATACCAAATAATTACTTTGTATTTGAATACAAGTTTGTAATCTGTTTTAGAACACATCATAAATCTCCTAAATTTTTTTATGTGTTTGAACGTTGTTCCGATTTTATGAAAATTTTTATAAACAATAGAATTAAATACATAACTTGATTAAGTAACTTGATTTTTATAATAAATTGCTGAGACACAGAACTTGCTATAACTCGGAAATAAAATTAAATTGAATGTACTTGTTTTTAATAACTCATTTTATTATTTTTAAATATTTAATCCATGTCTAAAGTATCTTTTACCTATTAAGATACACCGCGCGCGCGCGCTTCTATATCGTAATTATATATAAATATCAAAATAATTTTTAATTATTAAATTTAATCTTTAATTTTTGCATCTTTCTTTATACAATAAAGAAATATATTTTTTTCAGCGCAGATAAAAATTACATAAAGGCACTCATATATATTATATCTAATATCAGAATAACTATATATCACCCTTATGCAGAATTTATATCCTAAGCAATTTTTACTGTTCACTGTTCGAAGATATGATCTTTTCAAGTGTTTTTCTAATATTTCATACACGCGCGCACGTGCACATGTCTATGTATATTTATATATAACTGGAATAAAAAGAGAAATCACACTTTACATCTAAGTGTATAGTTATAAGTGTGTAAATATTATAATTGTACATATTATTAAAAAGTCCAACATGAACTAAAACGTTTAGTGTATTCCTGTATTTTATGTTTTTCAATAATATGATTATTATAAATATTTATACTTATACACATGTACTTAGATTTTAATTATGGCTGTCCTCTCTTTATTGCAATTTTATATAAATTATTTTTTTCATTTCATTCACTTCCAGAGTTTACTTACTAGGATATAAATCTGGTATAGCTACAATTTTGTAACATGTATGTTATCATGCATACACACAAGCGTTCACGCATATACAAGCAATTATCTATCTCAAGCTGCTGCACATAACAGAAGAACATAGTACATAACATATATCATACATATATAATAAAAAATAAATATACATTATCATTTTAGAGAAAACAAAATACAGATATAGATAGAAGTTGGGTCTCGTGACTTAGATAATCGTACTTAGTGAATGGTACAAAAAAGAACTTAATATTAAAATGTTTAAGCGGTCAGATTATACATTTTAATGGATTCGGAGTAAAATTTTCCAAAATAAAATAAAAGTCCAAATAATATCAGCATTTTAGCATTTCTTCTTGTAAAAACCAGAACAAAATCTTCGCTTACTCTGTGGCAACCTTCTTCGCTTTTCGCGTGCCTTTCTTTTCTTTCTAATTTGGAAAAAGCGTACTTTTAATACTAGGTTTAGTAACAATCTGCCTGAAAAACAGGAGATTTTTAAAATTTTGGTTATAATGACATTCCTTAAATACCTGTTGCTGATGTAACTGTTGCTGCTGCATCTGGTGTTGCTGCAGGTGTTGCAACTGTTGTTGCTGCTGTAGTTGCTGCTGATGCTGTAGTATCTGTTGTTGCTGCTGCTGCATAGTAGTATTACTGCTGCCATTCCCAGCCTGTTGATTTTGCCCACTTTGAGCTCCAGTAGGTAATCCTATTAATATCAGTATCAGTATCATCAAATCTTTTCTTAGCAGAGATACTAGATTTGCTTACCATTAGGTGCTGGTGGTCCTTGGGCTGGAGACTTGGCCCATCCTTGTAAATCTGCTAACAGACTCTGCCATACAGCAATTTTGTCATAGTGTCGCTTTATAAGATCTTCCTTACGAGTTAATTCCATCTTTAGGTCACTAACATCTTCTTTGACTACTAGTTCAGGCTTTAATACAGATAATAAAAATCTCTTTTGCAAGAAGAAGGCTTCCATTTGTCTGGCCAAATCTATAAATCTCAAAGTAACTTGTTCCACTTCTGTGCGAGCTTCATCCTTATCCACTGTTACACCACTAGATATACCAATCCCATTATTGCCTAATCCCTCATCTTTTGTCAATATGCTCAAGCATTGCTGAAAACCATTAATTCATAAAATTATATAGAATAGAAATTAAATAAATTGATATCTCTTATTTCTATTAATTTCTCTATTCTTATTAACACATGTAGTAAATCTAGACAATTGAAAAATCACATATGTATACTGCTATATGTGCATATGCCATATATATAAACACACACACACACACACACACACACACACACACACACACACATATATATATGTTTAATATATGTAATTAAGTAAAAAGAAATAACTCCGTTGCAAATATTATTTATTCTTATAACTATTCTTATATATTTTTTTTATTGTTCTATTTAATCTATAAATATGACAAAACAAAATTTTTACTTTATTTTTTCATATAATTATAATTAGTTAAGGATTCTTATTTAAAAAAAATAGAGTATTATAATAACTTTTCATATTTCAATTAAATATTATAAATTCAAAAGCAGAATATACTCCCTTTTGGTTAAAGATCAAATATTGAATGTATTAATACTAGAAGTAATAATTGCGAATAACAACAGTAATAATTTTTTTAGATTATATTCTTTTAGGTTACAAACATTACATGTTATTCAGTATATTACCAATAGCAATATCTTCATTTGTAAATACAAAACATAACGTAAAAATACATAAACTAATAATAAACAGAAAAAAACTTATAGTCAGAAATGCAAATTTCGCGCACGCAAATAAAAATTCTGTGTATAAAATGCAAGTGCTTTACCTGAAAAGCTTCTTCAAACTCATCGACGAGATTGCCGTTACCGTTGGTTGGAGTTGCCATCTCGCGCAATTCACACGTGCATAGATAATTGTCTCAAATCGTAACTATTATGTTTTCTTAACGTATTCAATTATTCTTCTATTATTCTTCACTTGCAAACTTTCTTTCGGTTAACGATGTAATATCATCTTTAACCTTTTTTTTTTCTCCCTTAATATTCTTATCAGTTATCAGGAAAATTTTGAATCTTATTACTATTATAGTATTTCACAATTTAATAAGGATTTGATATCGTATAAATACAAAAACAAATAAATAAATTTGATACTATAAATGCTTTGCGACGTTTTATAGCATAAACTCTTATAATTTCATACATATTACTAACCACAAACTTCCATAGCCTGTGTTACTATCTCAAGACTTACTAAACTCAAGACGGACAACCTCCATGTCATAAATGAAGCTACTGTAAAGGCCCTTGCAGAATGCCAGACAACAAGCAATAGGAATTAGCCAATAGGAAAAGGGAATAGAAATAATTGACTAATGGCTCCTGCACACAGGACGCGGTAATGCTTGCGCGCGGCAGAAGTCCGTGCGATAGCCAATCAATATGTTGTTTTTACGTAAGAGCTAGAAGGTTATTACGGAAAGCAACATATTGATTGGCTGTCGCGCGAACTTCCGCCGCGCGGCAAGCATTACCGCGTCCTGTGTGCAGGAGCCATAATCCGAATTCCTATTCCCCGTTCCTATTGACCTGGTTTACATCGTGCGTTTGATACGCGTACTAAATAGTAACTTTTTATTAGATAATCTTAATATCGACAATGCATATCAACAGCAACGCATTCTATCAATACAATACGTTTTGTTGATGAGTATTATACTAGCTTAATATACCGTTATTTATATATATCATCGATATTAATATTATCTAATAGAAAGTTACTATTTAATACGCGTATCAAGTGCACGATGTAAACCAAGCCATTGCCTGTTACTTGGCATTCTGCGGGAACGTCCCGATTGACAACGGTACGATTGGACACAACCAACCGATGAAAAGAATTATCTAATGAATTACTAAGTCGAACCAATCATTACAATCTGTGTCTAATCGTATCGTGGTCAATCGGTCCTACCCGCATTCTGCAAGGGCCTTAATGTTCTATGCACAACACTGGGCGCATTTAGTAGAAAAAGCGCTCAGTGAGCAATCAACGATTATTGGTTCTTGCTATTAGATTCCTAAATTTAGACCAATTACATTGGCCGCGTTCAGTAGAACAAGTGATCAATAAGCGCTCAGGGAGCTCTTGTATATGATTTGGCATATTCTTTTAGATCTCCAACTATACTCCAATCAGATGCAAGAGCTCACTGAGCGCTTACTGATCACTTGTTCTACTGAATGCAGCCACTGAAATCGATGGATCCATCGATGAATTAAAAAACTTGCCCATATACTACCTAGAACGCGCGCTGCCTCTTGAGGCGTGTAGGATGAAAGAGAGATCCCTTGGCTGTTTACGATAAATCGAATACGAGTTCCACTAGAGTCGAAAAATTTAATAAGCACAACCATTTAATATCTTCATGGTTCAAGACAACTCAGTATTGCTTTCCGATGCTCGAGTAGAGTTAGTTAGAGTTAGCTAGAGTAGCATAACGGATAACGTGAATATCAGGTAGTTGATTTTCAAAAAACATTAGTTATTAATAAGTTTAATATAATATGTTTATACCAAACGTTTAATACGCCTACCAATTTTATGTTGAATTATTTTGATTTCGGCGATGTATATAAACAACGTCATATTGAAGTGCAATATTGATTAGAAACATGTATCGTATTAATTGAATATATTGCATCGCCGAAATTAGAATAATTAGATATAAAGTTACTAATTGATACGCGTATTAAACGTTTGGTATAAACATACTATGTGAAATTAAACTTATTAATAACTAACATTTTTTGAAAATCAACTACCTCATGCTCATGTTATCCGCTATGCGACTCTAGCTAACTCTAAAGGCCTTCACACACACTTTCCGTAACAGTAACCGTAAGACGTAACGTAAGAATTGACCAATTACGATGGAGTATTCACAAAAATGGCGACCTTATGTTTCGACGATTCTCAATGTGATTGGTCAATTCTTATGTTACGTCTTACGGTTACTGTTACAAAAAGTATGTGTGAAGGCCTTAAGGGCCGTGACACACAGAAAACTTAAGCAATAAGACGTAAGCAGTAAGCAAATTGACCAATCACAGTCGTTGATTCTTGGACCGTAAGAAGAATTAATGACTGTGATTGGTCAATTTGCTTACTGTTTACGTTTTACTGCTTAAGTTTTTTTGTGTGCCACTAGCCTAACTAAGGGTGCGTTCCGTTTCACGCATTAAGCACATTGATCGCATTAAATGCGTTGCGCGCATTGATATTGTTCCGTTTCGTAAATGTGCATGATGCGTTTTTGGAAACGGAACGGTTTTCCATGCGTTTGATGCGAATCCAAAATGGATGCTACAAGTAACCTTACAGGTGACAAGATATTATCACCATTAATTTCATTTTTCTTAATAAACAACTTTTATTAAGAAGTCATTATGAATTAAATTTTATTGCGAAGTTTAAGCTAATTATTCAACAAAATATTAAATTGTGAAAAACTATACTGATTTGGGAGTTTTCGGTATGTTCAATTGCTGATGTATCTCCAGCACTATGTTGTTGCAAGATATTTTGCAAAAAATGTTCATCTACAAAATTATATTTTTATTAATTTATAGGTTATAATTACATATATTAAGTGTATTGATTAGACGTACAATTGATTGTACGTTTTAATACCTTGACTAGCTCTTGCAGCGGTTTCTTTCTCTAGAAAGAGCGTAATAATTTCACTGCTGCCGTCAATAATAACTGGAAATTCCACTAATTCTTTATTTTTTTCCATTTGTTTATTTTAATACACATCTCAAAGATACTAAAACTTCGTATTTTCCGCGCATGCATTAACTCTGCATCAAACGCTTCACGTTCGAGCTGATGCAGCTGATGCATGTTAATGCGCGAGAAGTGGTGGGAATCTAGGGAATTCTCTGCGCTATTAATGCGCTACTGATGCGCGCATTGAGTGAAACGGAACGGTTCTCTATGCAGTCTATGCGCATTATGCGTGAAACGGAACGCAGCCTAACTCTACTCGAGCATCGGAAAGCAATACTGAGTTGTCTTGAACCATAAAGATATTAGATGGTTGTGCTTATTACATTTTTCGACCCTAGTGAAACTAAGTTATACTCGATTTAACGTAAACACTCCTTGTTTCTTCTCTAATGGCTTTTGCACACAGAACGCGGTAATGCTTGCCACGTGGCGGGAGTCCGCGCGACAACCAATCAATATGTTGTTTTTCCGTAAGAGCTAGAAGATTATTACGGAAAGCAGCATATTAATTGGCTGTTGTGCGAACTTCCGCCGCGCGGCAAGCATTATCGCGTCCTGTGTGCAGGAGCTATTAAGGTGCAAACTAGAGATCCCGATTCTGAATCGATTCGATTCTTTCCCCAAAAATAGGCTTATTAGTGTTTTTTGCACTCTTCGCATTTTTCGTATTTAAAACTAGACAAAAGTATATTGGAATGTTTCAAAAAAGCAAAAACGAGACAACCAACTTGATTGTTTCTTCTTGATTGTTCTTGTAATTGTAAGCGTTTGATTAGGCGTCCATCTCTTTTTAAAAGCGAAAAGTATGAAACATGCAAGCAGCACGAATAATCCTTTTTCCCTAAATGTTTTTGTTAGGGAAAGAATCGAATCGATTAAGAATAGGTCATCTCTAGTGCAAACCCATGCAGCGGAATAGCGAAGCGCGGAACGAGAGCGGAACCAAAAACGAGCGTTCTACAGTTTTCGCACGTGATTGCTTCCGTTCGTAATTGGTTCCACTCTCGTTCTGTGCTCCGCTATTCCGCTGCATGGGTTTGCACCCTTAGAGTGCGTTCAGATGGAAAAAGAAATAACAGGACGGAACAGTTACGGAAAAGAGATATGGTGGGGATCAACCAATAAGAGTAATTCCGTCTTTATTCCGTCCCGTTGTTTGATAGCTGGGTTACATGATACGGAACTATTACAGCACGAAACAAAAACGGAAAACATTCTAACCTATCGACATTGAAAATTTGTGAAGTATGGTGAAATGTGTCCGGTTTGTAACATGTTTTTCGCGATGGAGAAAACGAAAAAATTGTTGATTATGGCAAGTCAGCGAATATTTGAAAAGTATCATTGATATTTACTTATATATACCCAGACAACACATGGATATCCATAAGATGTCCTTTAAGGATATTGAGAATATCCATAAGCCATCCGTTTTACGTCTTTCGGACATTAATGGACGTTTGTGGGATATCCGTTTATGAAATTGGAGGACATGCTAAAGTCCCCGACATATCCACAGGATATGCGAAAAACGTTTAATGGACATATAAAAGTAGCATCTAGATTTGTAATTTACAAGATAATTTTGTAATTTGTAAATTAAAGTGATGTGTGTGTGTGTGTGTGTGTGTGTGTGTGTGTGTGTGTGTGTGTG